AAAAAAGATTATACACTGTATCATTCAATTTACATAAAGCTCTCAAAAATGCAAACCGCTCTGTAGTAGCAGAAAGCAGGTCAAGAGTTATGTGGGAAGAGGTGGAAGTGATGAGGTGTCGGAGGGAAAGATCACTGTGGGTCACAAGGAAAATTTTGGGGGTGATGGAAATATTAATTAACTTGATTGTGGTAATGGTCTCAAGGTGGATATACATGTTGTTTCAAATTATACCCTTTAAATACATAGTTTGTTTTATATCAATTATACCTCAAGAAATCTATTAAAAATATTCTGTTTCCTGACTGAAGTTTGCTCTTCCTTTAGCAATAAGGCAGATGAGCTCTGGTTGGAAGGCCATTAAAGACACACCAGCACAGAGGCTTTTACCTTGGAGCGCAAACAGAGATTGAAAGACCATTTAAAAGAGAATAACGTTTGCCTTCTGTGATTCAGTGTTATTAAATGCTCTGTCTATGAACCACTTTAAACAACCTCATATGTCAGCAGGTGGGGCACGTATTCACCACACACTTTGGGAAATAATGAACCAAGAAAAACCTTGTAAGAATATAGCAAGTAAAAAAAAAAAAAAAGAATATAGCAAGTATCATGAGGTAACTTCACATAATAAATATTCAATTGAAACTGGAATTCTACAGCCTTGCTTAATGTTGGGATAATGATGACTCAAGACCAACCCTGCTCAAGTGAGGAATGCAGGTCCCCCTTTCCAGACTCCTCTGGGGCAGTGGAGTGACTATGGCTTCTTAGAGTTTCTTCACACCCCCCAAATTCTGCATTTTATAGTAGCCCATTGATGTTCTGGTCTCTTACTCAAAATAATGCAATTACAATGATTACTTTCAAAGTAAGATCTACAGTAGGCAAGAAAAGGAGAATATACAAATTTCCAGAAGTAGAGCCATTCCTACCTCACTTGCCTGTCTTGGGGCAAGGGAGAAAGCAGACCTTTGGTGTCCTACAGAAAGGGCAAGAGTATCACTGGAGGGGACTCCTGGTGGAGAAAGTTCAGATTTTAATTTAAAAATCATGAAGGAAATGAGGGATGGAACTTAGAAAGGAAAGGGGAGAAAAGGTTGACTTGGTGTTCATGCTTTTTAAAGATGATTCGTCTCCATGATTTTGCATGAAGTCTGCAAGGTTGAGAGGTTGCCTTAGAGCTGATTTAAGGATGGATTCAGGCCAAGTTTGTTCACAGATCTGTGTTGAAAACCCACCCTCTCCCTATTGTCACCACTTCCTCTACTTCATCAATGAAGTATCACAGGCATCTTTTTCTTTAAAAAAGATTTTATTTATTTATTCATGAGAGATACAGAGAGAGAGAGAGAGAGGCAGAGACACAGGCAGAGGGAGAAGCAAGCTCCCTACAGGGAGCCCGATGTGGGACTCGATCCCAGGACTCCAGGATCATGCCCTGGGCCCAAGGGAGGCGCTAAACCACTGAGCCACCCAGGGATTCTGTATCACAGGCTTCATATTACCCAATCAGCATTTAGACTTTGGGTCTATGAAAATGCATGTCCCCTCTGGATGTGATAGAGCTTTCAGCTGTCATCATCAGAGAGGAAGGAGGCCCTTATCTCTCTTTTCATGCCCTGTTTCATTTCTACCAGCTCCAGACTCCAGGTATGAGGGGCTGCAAATATTTTTGATTCCAGAACACCATTTGGGTCACACTTAGTAGCAAGTGGAGTCTGATGTCAAAAGTCATACCTCCAGAGAGCAGTCTTCCTCCTCCTATGCAGAATTTGTAAGCTGAGTCAGATTCTCCTCAGAGCCTCACATCCTGAAATTAGTCTAGGCCACTAGGACTGTAGGAAGACCCAAAGGTCTGGGCCACTTGTTGTCTCAGCTTCACCAAGTGACCACAATCCCACTTGTAGCTTCTCACATATAACTCTGTCCTTCCCACCCATCTTTGAAATTCTTCTAAGTCAACTCTGAACACACATGTACGTACACACACAGCTGAACCCCCTCTCAGCAAGACTCTGGACAAGGGGCAAGTTACCGAACATTTCTATGGTTTAGTTCCCCACCTGTAACCCTGAGACACTGGGACATGTATCTCATGGGATTGTCATGATGATTAAATTAGTTTATATCTGAAAGGTTATTAGATCAGTCCCTAACATACAGCAAGGACTCAATAAACTTCTTTTTTTTTTTTTTTTTTTATGTTAGGGACTCTTCTTTTTGGCTTCCTTAATTACCTTCTCTGTTATTCTGCTCACACATTTTCTGTGTCATTATCTGCTTAGGCATCTCTCTCCTCCACGATGCTATAGTTTTTTTGAGGATAGGAACTGTGTTAGGTCTGTTTTTATAATTCCTAACATTGAGCACAATTTCTGACACACAGGCATACAATGAGGTGGAATCAATAAATAAGTCACTGGATGAAAAATTTAATATCTGAACAAAGGGTAGCCTTTTTTTTTTCTATAGGAAAAAAGAAAGAAAATATACCAGATTGTTAAGAGTACTTAGCCCTAGAGGTGAAATAATGTATAACATGTATTTTCTTCTTTCTCCTTTTCTATTTTTTCCCTACAAGGAGGGTGTGGATAGGGCAGAGTGGTTTCATGACAGTGCATGCAGAGGACTGGGCTCTACTCTAACCAGAGAACTTCGGGAATTATATAGTGATGATAACATGAGCTGCATTCACAAATGAACTTGGAAATTTTAGCATCTTAACACAATAGCAATTTATTTCTTACTCTCATATTGAGGGTGTGTGCGTTTGTATGTACTCCATAAAGTCATTCAGGGACCCAGCCCCACAGAGGCTCCTCCATCTACACATGGTTACCAGGTCACCCTCATGTCTACACATCTGGCCAGTGGACTGGGGAAGAGAGGGCACGAGTAAGTTCATGTGGGAGTTTTACCTCACTTCTGCCCACATTCCCCTTGCCCAAATTGAGTAACATTGCCCCAGTTGGCAAGAAGGCTGGAACATGGAGTCTAGCCATATATCCCAACAGAAAGGAAATCGGTTTGGTGAAGGGGCAGAGGATGAGTTAGCTTTCCTCCCCTATATTCTCTCCAGTCTTGCCTGTTGATGCAATCTCCTGACTGGCCTCCCCTCCTCTTCCCTCTCCCTTTCAAATTATCTTCCACATAGCTGCCAAAGTGACTTTTCTCAAATAAATATTTGACTTGTCACTTGCCTTACTTATCTCCCTTTCATCAACTAAATAAAGTTCAAATCTCTGTAAGCTATATCTCTCAGCCCATAAACTCAGGGGCACAAGTAATATTTCTGTTTGTGACTGGATTTAATTTCAGTGTTGAGATCCTATCCTGGCAGGTAGTAGAGTTTTCTCCCCTTTACCCTGGAGTACAATCTGAGGTCTTGGGAGTATCACAGTACAAAGCATCAAGTGGGCATAAGATCCTCAGTGTTAACCTCAGAGGGGTTTTCTGAAAGCAACTAAAGGCAATCTCTTGACATCAGAACACTGCAAGAAACCATTTTAAGAATTTCATTCAAATTGTCAGTGAAAGGAAGCAAACCAAACCCAGCACACTGAAAAACAAACAAGCAAACAAATGAAATAGAATAAGAAAATGAGTCACTGGGGATGGAGGTGGAGAAGCCATTAAAAAAGAATTCATGGTAGAAGCAGAATCTCTTGTGTATTTATCTTTATAAAAGAATAGAAAAGCAACTTGAAAAAAGAAGTCTAGCGTATTAGCCAGCTAGCTAGTATTAGTGTAAATGAGTGGCAGTATGTGTTTTAATGCTTTTTATTGGTATTTTAATTTGTCTCTAAGCACCATATTTACATCTTATACAGTTCCACTGAAACCAAAGTGCAGCTTTCACTTTAATGTTTATTGGCATGCAAAATAATTCCAACAAACAATATAGAGATGTATCTGCTTTGCTGAATTATACTCAGAAGTATGAAGAAAGAGAATGTGTCCAGATATAGAAATGACAAAACATTATATCTGGAAGGATCTTTCATCTTGTGTATAGAGAAACTGGAGTATTTAGAAGTGATGGCTCACCCAAGATCATGTAGTGACAAACTGGGGCCTGGATGCAGACATCTACACCTACTCTCAGCTGGAACAATCAGGTGGTTGAGGAAATTGTCACATTTCACTCAGAGCTCCAGAAGGTAGAACCCCTGAGAGCTGCTGGGAAATATGTTTCAAAGCATAAAGCAACATTCAGTAGCCATGGGTTTTCTTGTACTCTGAATGCCTTCTACCTTCTTCTAGATAGAGTCAGACCTCACTTCTCACACTCTAAACCTCCCCCTGGCTAATGTGATTCCTTGCCCACACTTAGCAGGTACCATGCACATTCTCTCTCCTCTGTTCACAGGACCTCTCCTCCGGCTGTTCCTGGAGAATGATCCTTCCCCGGTGCATGCAATCTTGTGGGAGGATCCTTTCCAGTGTTTGTTGTTCCTTGGTTGAGGAGAGTCTATGTGATATATAAGCCAATGAGAGTCCTTCTTGTAGACATTCAGATCTTAATCAGAGTGACACAAAGATAAGAAAACATTGGAGTCATCCAGTGGTACACCCAAAAGAGACTATCCATTAGTGCCTGCTCTCAAGATACCCAGTACTTCCCTAGCTCCCATCTTTCTGAGAACTGGTTATTTAGCTTTTCCTTCAGTTGTCTGAGTCATTTCAGATCCATCCAATAAATTTCTTTCTTTGCCTAAGTTTGTTAATTTGGTTTTGGTTACATGTAAATAGCCTGAATTGATAAAACATTCAGTGGGCAGTCCTATTGATCCAAGTCCACTTAACTGACTTAAGCAAATGGGTTAACTACTATCTCAGCATGCTGGTGACTAATAGCTAGTATGCCTCACTCTAGTACATCCATGGACTCCATTTGAGTTTTGTACTTACCACATATTGTGTTTGTTCCCAAACCTGCTCATGCCAATTACACATATGGTTGCAATTTCATAATGTAATTAAATATTAACTAATGAGTGCTTGCTTTGGCAGCACATAAGCTAAAATTGGAATGATATGAAGAAGATTAGCATGGCCCCTGTGCAGGGATGACTCACAAATTCGTGAAGCACTCTGTATTTTTCCAAGAACCATAAGATACCTAGGAATGTCAAAGAGGTAAAAAAACCTACACTCTGAAAACTATAAAACACTGATGAAAGAAATTGAAAATAACACAAAGAACTGGAAAAACATTGCATGCTCATGAATTAAAAGAACAAATATTGATAAAATGTCTATTTTACCCAAAGCAATCTACACGTTTAATGCAACCCCTATCAAAACACCTACAGCATTTTCTACAGAGCTAGCACTAACAATCCTAACATTTGCATGGAACCACAGAAGATGCTGAATAGCAAAGCAACGTTGAAAAAGAAATCAAAGCAGGAGGCATCACAATTCCAGACTTCAAGTTATATTACAAAGCTGTAGTAACCAAAATAGTATGGTATTGGCACAAAAATGAACACATAGATCAATGGAACAGAATAGAAAACCCAGAAATGAACTCACAACTATATGGTCAATATGGTCAATTAATCTGCAACAAAGCAGGGAAGAATATCCAATGGGAAAAAAAACTCTTCAGCAAATGGTGTTGGGAAAATTGGACAGCAACATGCAAAAGAATGAAACTGGATCGCTTTCTTGCACCATACACAAAAGTAAACTCAAAATGAATTAAAGACCAAATATGAGTCAGGAAACCATTAAAATCCTGAAGGAGAACACAGGCAGTAACCTCCTTGACTTTGGCTATAGCAACCTCTCACTAGATATGTCTCCTGAGGCAAGGGGAACAAAAGCAAAAGTAAACTACTGGGACTACATCAGAATAAAAAGCTCTTGCTTTTTTCCAGCAAAGGAAACAATCAACAAAACTAAAAGGCAACCTACAGAATGGGAGTAGATGTTTGCAAATGCCATATTTGATAAAGGGTTAGTATCTATAATCTATAAAGAACTTATAAAACTCAACACCCAAAAAACAATCCAGTTAAAATAAATGGGGAGAGGACACAAGTAGACATTTTTCCAAAGAAGACATAAAGACGGGCAACAGACCCATAAAAAGATGCTCAATACAATTTATCATCAGGGAAATGCAAATCAAAACAACAATGAGATATCACCTCACACCAGTCAGAATGGTTAAAATTAACAACACAGGAGACAACAAGTATTGGCGAGGATGCAGAGGAAAGGGAGCCCTCTTACATTGTTGGTGGAAATGCAAACTGGTGCAGCCACCCTGGAAAACAGTATGGAGGTTCTTCAAAAATTTAAAAATAGAACTACCCTATGATCCAGCAATTGCATTACTATGTTTTTACTCCAAAAATACAAAAATATGAATTTGAAGGGATACATGTACCCCAATGGTTATAGCAGCATTATCAACAATAGCCAAATTATGGAAAGATCCACAATGTATATAAATTTATATATTTATATATAAAGATGATGTGATATATATTTATATATAATATGTATATATTATATGTATACATATAAAGATATGTGATCTATATATATGGCATGTTACTCAACCTTAAACAAGAATGAAATCTTACCATTTGCAATGATGTGGATGGAGCTAAAGAGTTTTATGCTAAGCAAAATAAGTCAGAGAAAGATGAATACCATGTGATTTTACTCATAGGTAAAATTTAAGAAGCAAAACAAATGATCATAGGGGAAAAATAGAGACAAAACAAGAAACAGACTCTTAACTATAGAGAACAAACTGATGATTACTAGAGGGGAGGTGGGTGGGGGATTGGTGAAATAGGTGATGGGGATGAAGAAATGCACTTACTGTGATGAGCACAGAGGGTTGTATGGAAGTGTTGCATCACTTAAGTTGTACACCTGAAACTTATATTACACTGTATGTTAACTAAGTGGAATTTATTTTTTTTTAAGATTTTATTTATTTATTCATGAGAGACAGAGAGAGAGAGAGAGAGAGGCAGAGACATAGACAGAGAGAGAAGCAGGCTCCATGCAGGAAGACTGATGTGGGACTTGATCCTCGGACTCCAGGATCATGCCCTGGGCTGAAGGCAGGTGCTCAACCGCGGAGCCACCCAGGTGTCCCAAACTAAGTGAAATTTAAATAAAAACTAAAATATGTATATACTAACTAATGAACTGTGAGGGCAAAAACAGTGTTTATTCTTCTGAAAAAAAAGTTGACTTCTCTGGACTCGTGATAAAGGTAAGCAACTAGAAAATGTTATCAATAAGGGTATGGGTGAGAGACGATCAGAAAATGGTACAACTATAAAGAAGAATTTTATAAGTCACATTGCTTCTCAGAGGTTTTTAAATTCTTGCTCCCCTTTAACCAAACCAAAACTGAAAATCATGAAGAGTTCCTAATAGGTGACTGCAATCAACAGACTCAAAACCAAAGAAAGGGTTTTGGTCCTTTCTTGGAAAAAAAATTGGGAAATCAATGAACATTTATATGTATTAAAATACCTAAGGTATATATCATTCATTATGGTTTAACTACATTTTTTACCTTAATTAAGTAATCAAATTTAATAGGAGGTCTTTATATTCAGAAACACAGAGTGGGAAACTCATGCTACTTTTGTATCTGCTCAAGTGTTCGTCTTCACTGGTAGTGGCCTGTCTTGAATTCAGGAACCCTTCCCACAACTCCTAGTCTCTGAAAAGATAACAGTTGCAGAATATCTGAGGAACTGCCTCATTCACATCTTTTTCCTGATGGGAATACTGAGACCTAGAGAGGGAGAAAGACTATCCTGAGTTGTTCAGTGGTTGATGGCAGAGCTGAGGCAATGACCCATTGCCTCTTCAATGTCCGTGAGCTCATCCTGCAGCACAGGAGTTTGGTCCAATAGATTTTATACATTTATTTATTCCTTTGTGGACACAGCTTTAATACAAAAAGGGATTATTATACCAAGACAATGTGAAATAAATTATCAGGTCATTTTAGAAATATTATCCACTCAAAAAGATATGAAGCTCATTATTCAGGAGTGAAGGAAATGGGAATGAATTACTCTGGGAACCCTGAATAAATCACAGTTAACTCATTTGCAAGCCTTTTAACTCTGAATACTGATGATGGGTCATGCTATTCCTGGTCTGCTTTCTCCTATGTCACACAGGTTCCCACATACCCAGCTCAGTTACTTGATACAGCTTTATAAATGAAGCAAGAAAGCTACATTTTACAGTCAGTGATGAGACTAGCAAGATCTTTTCTTTAATTATCCTAGAAATAAAGCTGTCCTTTTCACCAAAGTAAATGTGAGCACGAAGGCTAATGGCCAATTAAGACAAAAAAGTAGGATTGGCTGATATACTTTTTACTGGCTGCTTTTTTTTCCCCCCATAGGGTTGATTGTATTTTGGCAGAATTGATGAGATTGAATGATGATTTTGTGTTGGGTTGTCGAGGACTGGGAGAGTTTAGTATACACCAATTATAGACACCACATAGGCCTCCGATAGGGTCAACACTTCCCTCCAGTCTTTCCCTCTCCAACTCCTCCTTCCTCCAGCTCCTCTTCCCCTTCCTCCCCTTCCTCCTCTTCTTCCTTTCTTCCTCCTCCTCCATCTCCCCTCATCATCATCCTATAAGGATGGTTGCCATGTTGCATTTCACTCCCTTCTCAAGGGAGGGACAATGCTGCACAAAACCAAAGACATGACTAGGACAGATTGCCAGAGTTGAGCTGGGAGAGTGTCTGCTTCTTTGTTGGGTTTTATTTCCTGGGAGCTTCCAGCAGTCTAGATTAGATAAGAGTTATAAAGTCAAATACTTCAGGGATGGGTAATTAATACATGTAGTGAGATAGACAAAAGAAGTTGGGGGGCTTTGGGTACACAGGGAGTCCATGACTCATCAAAGGGGCAACCACAAGGGAGCTCCAGCCTCCTGGAAGAAGATGGACCCCATTAGCCAGATCTGCCACCTTTTTTAAAAAGCTAGAATCTAATTATTTCATGTAAAAAAAACCCTCTTGATTTTAAAGTTAATTATAATTTTTAGCACTGTTGAAGCCAAATAAAATACATCTTTGGGCCAGCTATAGTCCATGAGCTACCAGTAGGTGACCCTTGACTGCCCCAGGGCTCCCTTGCTGGCAAGTGGGTTCCCAACCAGCCAACTCCACATGGAAATAATACAACTTAGGAAGAGGGACGTGCGTTTTGGAGAAAAGGGTGAATCTTCAGCCTGCTAGCTCTAGGCTTGGACCAATCTAGGCTGAGCGAAAAGAATCCTGCCTGTGACCTGGCCTATATTAATCAAGTTTAACGTTAGGACTTGGGGCTAAAATCTCAGCATCGTTGGAAGTATCCATTTCCAGGCTAACTATCTTATTCTCTTAATGAATTTCCCCCAGTGGCTTTCTGGGAGAGTGATTTGGCAAGAATTAGTGGTTCACAATCCTATGTCCTGGCCATCTTTCTTTGTCTTAATTGTCTGTGGGTAATCCTATGATATGGCCCCCTCCAAAAGCTTCCTGTGTATGTGTTTGGATGAGGAAAGTAGGCTAGAGATAAGGCTCTGTATATCATGAGAATCTACGTGAATCAAATGAACTGTATTGTCCATTTCATTGACTCTGCATAGACACTAAAAATATTGGAAGACCCCACTGTATCTCATTATTAAAGTTGCAGTAGTTTGATTTATGAAAAGATTGACTTTCCTCCTCTAATATTCAAGGATCAAGAATTCCTGTAAGTAGTTAGAATTCCATAGGGCTACTTGTTTATTACAGAGGAACCAAAATATATTATATAGCCTTTGTTTACAAAGACTTCTTCATGTAATTAAAGAATATCATATTTTGGCATTTGGTTTTCCTTATTCTTTCGGTGCTTGGTTAATAAGTATTTAATTGAAAATTGTCTCAGTAAATGACACTATATAGTATGTTAACTGAACCCACCAACTATTCTGATATTTATCATTAATAATGTGAGACGTCAAAGGCTCTATTGTGTTACTTTTCATGTGGACTTTATATATTAATAGAGAGGAGAGATGAATTCATCCACTTCTTCTGGGAAATACCCAAAAAACCC